ACCAAGATTAGCAAAATACGTGACAAACAAATGCTTTTATAAGAAAGATGTTCTAAATAATCCCATGTCACAATTTACTACAATTTAAAATTAATAAAATACAACATAAACATTTACAATTATAGCATACTGATATTCAAATATTTAATTATTTCAAGATTGCTGAAGTAGGTATTAAAGAAATGAGAACGGATATTCTACAATATTCAAATTTTATATGAAAAAACTGACACTAAAAATACATATAGTGAAGAGCTTTTTTTTGTTAATTACGCTGTAGAAAAGCATAACTGATTGGCTTAATTGATGGTTACATAGGAATCCTCTCTCACAATTACAGTTATCTAGACTTTTTTCATTGCATAAATTTTAGGATCACCACAGTGTAATTTAATCTCCTTTTATTAGGTATATTTGACATGTTCTCCCCCCTTCCATTCAGAAGTTAGAAATGCTAAGGTATATAACACTGGTAACATAGTTCTTTAAGAAAAGGGCAAGCATTACCTTTATTAAGTTGGACTTTGGGAGAGCACCAAGCTTTAACAGAGGGATAAATATGCTTAAAGCAACACTCAGGAACTGAAGTATTCCATTTTATTCAGATTCTTAAGCATTGCCTATAATGGCACTAAGAGATGTCAGGTACATAGATGCTGGAAACTTTCCTGTGTATCATCAGGTTGACTAGAATTGCATTTTTTACTGTATTTCTGAGTAAAAGCTCGTAGGAGATGCATGCAGTTATAATGACAAAAGAATGTTTAATAGAGCCTTAATTAGCATCTAATTCTGCACCCATGATTACTACAAAAAGCTAACGCTTAATGTCAGGAATCATAGCATCCCTGTCCCATTAGTCCTTAAGGGTTGAAACCCTATGGTAGCCTAACAGTTTATGAGAACTTTATTGTAGAAAACAAGTAGTCTCTCTAGCACAAATTACTATTTTTCTAGATCTGCAACTGTAAATCATCAGAGTTCCAGCAAAACGTGTAAGTAGGAATGCTAAGAACTCATGGGTGAGTCATTTTGAAAATATCTGTTTTCAGAAAACCCTGAAAACTTCTTCACCATGCCACTCAGAATGCTTTCCACATCTGAAGGTATCACTTCTCGATATAAATCTGCATGCATTTTCTATACTACTGCGTGCTCTGTGATACAGAGGAGCTAAGAACTTCAAAATTTGTTACTGACTTAAAATGGTAGAGTAGGATTCTAGAGCATATAGTTAGGTATTTCCACTGTCTTAAGGCCTTGTAGGCCTCATATGTACGTAGAGAAAAAATTGTATCAAAGTGCAGCCCAATCCTGTAAATGTTTCTGGCATGTTTCAAAATATATTAGTCAGGTACAACTGAATTAAAACATAGAATATTGCTAGCGTATTGAAGAAAAAGACATACAAACATTTATGTTCTATTTTTACAAAGCTGATTGCTTCATTGATTCACATTGTTGCTCCTTCTTTAAAGTACTGGATGATTTACTTCCCTAGCAAAAGAGAAGGTGATCGTTTTTTGAGAGAGACTCATAAGTGTCTTTGTAAACACCCCCTTAAAAAAAAAAAAAAAACCAACAACACAAAAATCCCTTAATGGGTTTTATAGATTTCTTCTCTGACTCTATATAAAGCTCAGAGATTGTTATATGTAACCTGTTAGGGTCTAAAACACTAAGACCATACCATTAAGATCTTTGTAGTTTGTTCTGTAATGGGGCTATAATTTTCATATACTCTAGATGTTCTCCTTCACTCCTATACTCTTCTGGCTAGTAAAAAGGTTCAAATAATCACTTTCCGTTTCTCTCTTTGTAAGAGTCATGTTAGTATATAACATAAGAACTAATAATGTTTACAAGGAATACCAGCATGAACTATACCTGGCAGAAAAGATACAGTAAGTAATATTGCTGTGTAACTTAATTAGAAAGAGAAATTCTAACAAACACCCTATTCACCAGTTCAAATAAGCAGAAAAGTGCATTCCCTGAGGGAGAGAAAGTATAATTAATGCAGCACAATGCCCATTCCATGCTGATGTTCCCAGTACTGGAAATCTGCATTTTGATACTGTCTGCACACATATTGTTTTCTAAGAGCAATTATCACCCAAGTCCAAATTGTAATATGTGGCCAAAAAGGACATAATTAATGTAAATTATAATAGTAAATCACTTCTTTGAAACTCCATCTTGAAATTTTGGGGAACTCTTGAAAAATTACAAATTGAAAATATGGAAATACAGAAAATATGTTATGTCACATGTGTATCTGTTTCAATCCTCTTACCCATGATTACAGGGACAATCTAAGAGGAAATATATTCTGAACAACATTAGGTGCCAGGAGCAATTCTTGGGGTAAAAATAAGTGACAGAGAGAAAATGCTAGAGTAAATATATAAGCAGACACAGTTTAAAATGCATTTATATGTGATCTCGATTCTATTTTTCCATTAATAATGTCTTGATGTTTTGCCTGAAGTGATAATTATTTCATTTAAATAGAGCATGTGAGGATATACTCTAAGACCAAGTAGCCAGGCAGACAGCAAGTGGTAAATGTAGCTTTTGGTCTCTTTCAAAGAGCTCCTCTTCAGCACTGGAACTGCATCTATTTGACAGTGATGTATACGAAGAAGAACTCCACATCTGTGGATTTCAGAGAGTTCAACAGAGTTTATACATTTACAGTATTATATTAAATATCTTATTGAAATAAGCAACAAAGAAGCAAATTTGAAAAGCTTGCCTTAGTCTACTCCAATCAAAATCCTTGGGGAAAAAAAAAAAATCACCAAATATTTTAGGAAAACCCATTAACTGCTGTTAAGGTCCATGTTCTGCTCATCTGTTGGTCTCTTTTTAACATAATGGGTATGTCCAAAGAATACTTTTTTTTGCTATTACCCTTCCTGTTCAGAAAAGCTGGTGAGTGCAGTCCTATGATAACTGATGGATGGCGTCTTTTTTATTGTTTATTCTGTGTTTCTGTTCTGTTGGGGGGGAGGGGGAGCTTGGTTTTGGGGGTGTTTTTTGTGGGGTTTCGGTTTTGTTTTCCAGAAAAGTGGAAGAGGTAGCAGGCATTGAAATGAGGGAGAAATCACTCTTTCTTTGGAGGAAAGGAAGCTTGCTTAGTGGGCACACTTCAGACTACAAGGTTTGACTGGCCAGGAAGACACAGAATGCACCTGGAAGCCTGCAGGTTATAAAGAGACTGAGAAGTGGCACCGAGAAAAATGGAGCAGACAAGTGATGCTAGAGATACGATCAAAAGTTTAGGGAACAAAGCAACTTAATGTGTCATTCAGTTAACTGGTATTAAGCCTGTAAGTAGGGAATTGCTGGGAAGAACAGAGCAGGTGAGGAGAAATGTGTAAAGAATTGTATTTCTTTTTTTGTTGTCCTTATTTGCTTTGAGTTGTTTTTTCAGAAAGATTAATATTGAGGGGTTTTTTTATTCTAATAAAATTTAGGTTTTCTACTTGAAATGTCTTTTGGTCTGTAATTCACTATACAAAATATTATAGGCTTGTTCACTTCAAAGCTCTGGTTTACTGGACGTCTTGTCAAAGTGGGAAAGTGAACATTTTACAAGAGGGAAAGCAGGAGGTAAAGAATTGCTATAAATTCTTCAAAGTGAGAAAGATTACTAGATAGTTGCCACATAGTTTAATACCTGGCACCCTCATTTGTTATTATGATTAATGCCTTGGGTGACAGTACAGAAGATACACAAGCGGTAGGATTTAGACTGTTGTAAAAAATCCTGTAATGAAATAGGGAATCAGACTCTGTAAAAATCAGAGCAATAGAAAAACACATATTTGTAGGTGACCATGCATGCCTTGTTGTATGTGTGCACACACATTACATCTGAATTTCAAAATGCAGATAAATGTAAAGTGCTGTAGGTGGGCATTCTTATTCTAACTAACTATGCATTACATTTACATTAACAATAAAGGATTCCAGCCAATGCAACATACTAATCTCAAGGCAGTCAGTTCTCTATTACTTGAAGTTGTGTAAAGTCTTAAAATAGAATTCTCCAATTCAGACATAAGGCATAGTATTGACACAGAGTTACTAATAAAATTATCTCTTCGCTGTGGTATGAAGAACAGTCTATATGACCATTAGAGCTTATGAACTTAAAATTTAATACTTATATGGGTTCATGAATAATGGCACCAGTCAATGAATTTGAAAACTATTTTATCCCTCAGAACTTACCCTTGTTAGATATTACAGGAATCCCAATGAGGCTGTGTCAATTTTCAAACAGGCTGTATTGGAATCCTTGGTTTGCTGACAAATTATGGATTTTATATTATATACATGACACTTTCTTTGGTTGACAGAGCTCTAGCAAGTACACAGTTTGCATCTAATTTTCCCTGCAAAGATCAGTTTTGACAATAGGCAACATACTGTGTAAGCTACATGCCAGACTCAAGAATTATACAGATGTACACCCCCGCACATACTCCTATGCCCATCATCATGTAGGCAGGAAATGGTTGGGTCAGTGACTCACCAAATTATAATCAAATGCATTTGTACTTAGAACAGACCTGTAGGCACCCACATTTTGCAGAGTCTGACTCCTTTCAATAACCTATTTTACATACTTAAATTAGAGATCTGAGTTTCATTACAGCACTCCTAGTTTCAGAGCAATGTTCCCTGAGAAGTTGCCGAGAGGGTTGACAGGTAAGATTCAGGACACATTGGGTGTTAAATCAATGATGAAAGCTTCAGAGAATTTATCGGTTACTAAATGCATGCAATTTTAATCCAAGAAAATAATTTGGTTCTTATGTAGCACATACATACTTACCCAAGAAGTATCCAAATCAGCATTTTTATATCACATATTAATAATAAACTTCTCAAAATATTGAAAAATATTTCAGAAATTGATATTTACTTTAAATTAAAAGTCAGCACTACTAGTGACATTTATATATCTATATCAATATCTTTGGTACCTGTAAGTGATATGTTTGTGTTGCCATTTCTGTCCTGTTAACGCATAGCGTTTCCGACGAATGTTAAATTTGGAGCTACCTCTTGTTTGGTCAGGCACACCACATCGAGGCTTCTTCATCCAGCTGCAAGAAACAGCACCACACAGTTAAAGCAACGTGAAAGAAAAATCATAACCACGGCACCCAACTAATAAAAACATCATATTTTTTTGAAGTTACGGTATTATCAACTTTGTGTCTATATGCAACAATGACTAACAAAAGGAACAGTTATCTTGTTACCAGATGTACAGTTTGTGAAACTTCATTGCATCCCATGACATTCAGAAACCAATTTCTTTGCTGTTATTTTTCTTAGTTTTCTTTTGTTACAACCTCTGAACAAAGACTTCACAACTGGACAAGTCTTTCACAGTCAATAATTTATTCTGATTCATTCAAGGTAATTATGATCTGTATTACTAGCTTGCTTGCTGAAGATGAAGTTAAAGTATATACACAAAGATTTAGTCAAATCACTAGTTCCTACATTATTTTTTGTATTCTGTGATCCTTCTCTTTTGTCTCATTGTCAGGATACTTAAACAAACCTCAAGTTCTTCTAATCAAAGAGCCCAGCCAACTGCCAGATTTTTTTTTTTTAATTCAAGATACTGAAACTGCTAACTTTATGATACTATTAAGTTCTTCTATGTTACTCTCTTTCCACACAATGAAGAGTATCTCATTGCAGCTGTAAGGTCCTAGTGGAGATATTTAACTCAAGAATTCTGCTTAAGAATATTTAATGCTCTGCACAAAATCAAGTTGAAAAGGTCTAAATCACAAACAACAAAAATGACCATTGCAGCAGCACCAGGCTTTCCACAGAAGTGCTCGATTTTTACAGTGGCCTTCAATATTTCAATGTTTTCCAATATATCAAAAACTTCAAATTTGTCAGCATTCCAAACATGTCAAAATTAGGACATTTAATTCAAAAGCATGAGTTCAACAGCAGTATCATTGAACTGTTTCTCACTTGTAGTGTAAGGGTTATTTAGTTTGAGTAAAAGTGAACAAAACTCAGCTGAAGTTATTATTTTATATGAACTGAATAGCTGTCAAACAATTTACCATCAGAAAGATAGTAAGATTAAAGACATTCACCGCATAAGTAACAGACAAATCTTCTCTGTTACTTTTCCGGTTCATTTGACTTTATTTCTATCATGCTAAATAATTACTGACGTAAAAGCTATAGTTTTATAGAATCATAGAATCATAGAATCATTTGGAAAAGAAAAGATCTCTAAAGATCATCAAGTCCAACCGTTAACCCAACACCACCATGCCCACTAAACCATGTCCCTAAGCGGCACATCTACACGTCTTTTAAATACTTCCAGGGAAGGCGACTCCACCACTTCCCTGGGCAGCCTGTTCCAAGGCCTGACCACTCTTTCAGTAAAGAAGTTTTTCCTAATGTCCAATCTAAACCTCCCTTGGCGCAACTTGAGGCCATTTCCTTTCGTCCTATCACTGGTTACTTGGGAGAAGAGACCAACCCCCACCTCGCTACAACCTTCTTTCAGGTAGTTGTAGAGCGCGATGAGGTCTCCCCTCAGCCTCCTCTTCTCCAGGCTAAACAACCCCAGTTCCCTCAGACGCTCCTCATAAGACTTGTTCTCTAGACCCTTCACCAGCTTCATTGCCCTTCTCTGGACACGCTCCAGCACCTCAATGTCCAGCACCTCAATGTCCAAATTTCCAATGGTATTTACCCCAAGAGTAGTCATACCCTATATTCAGGCTTGCATGAATGAATTTCTGACCATTAAACTGGCATTTAAGCATTGTTTCATAAATAAATATACACACAGTAGCTCTATGTATATATGACTGGATGATAGAAAAGTCATTTGAAATGTCATCTCAGAACGTAGACTCCTTTTAAAACATACACAAATAACAAAAACTCAAAAAAACAACCGCCAAGCATCTTTCACCTTTTCCAAAAGATATTCTTAGTTCAATATATGCAAAAATGAAGAAAATAATCTTGTTTTGTCCAGAAGAAAACATGGAATATTTGCAGTACAAAGGAGCAGTGTGTGTGTGTGTGTGTACAAAAAACTACACAATCTAGAGAAATAATTGATTTTTCAGTTCTGTACTCAAGGAATGAGATGTGCATTTTAAATTTTACACCTACTAATACAAGACAAACCATATTGCATACTGAATAAATTTTTAGAGATGGGCTAATCCAGTCAAAATCAGCCACGCTCATTTTCATAAATCCGTGTAAAGAAGTTTAAAAGTACAGCCAGACTTACAACACTTCATATATGCTATAGCTATGGATATATAGCAAACTATTGTTTAAATGCATAAGTAGGAGTTAAGTTCACTGGCCTATGTGAAAAAAGAAAATTTTAGTGATAGTACCAAGATGGCACTGCACCCCACTTGCACTGATAAAGACTGTAGAAGTGCCTGCAGAAACATTGATGGGTGACACATCCATCGAGTAGTACTGGTGGGGAAGCCATAACTTATGAATTGGACTGCCTGAACTGAAGACACTGAGTTCATAGTTACCTCTTTCAAATAAGAAACACAGAATGATTTACTCTAATTTCTGGTCAGAATAATTATAAAGTATGTGTGGCACATAAAACAGTTGACTATTATTTGTATTTGCAAGGAAG